AAAAAAAACAAAACAAAACAACATTTACTCATTTATTCTGAGAATTGGGAATTAAGAAAACACAGGTAATGGAAGTTAGATCTTCATCTGGGTCCCCTCTGTTCTGCAATTTGATTCTTGCCCAATTTGGCCGTCAGTTCTTTGGCCGGATTGAAAATGCCAGTTGTCAGCTGGTCGCAGACATAGCACCGAGGGGAGGTGCGGAAGTGCTGCAGTGCACAGTGCTCGCAGAAATAATGCCTGCACTTGGTGACCACTGGGTTTTGGAAGGCCTGGCGACAGATGAAACACTTGAACGGTAGTTCCTCAGCGTCGTCTCCCACTTCATAGTTCTCATCCTTGCAGACACCATAGCGGCCCTCCTCAAGTTCACGCTCAATCTGCCAGCCGTGCTTGTAGTCGGAGCGGTCGTGCAGGAACTTGCAGCTGTCCCCAAATCCGCAGAAGCCAGTCTCCTTGTAGTCCTTGCAGATGTCCGGCTGGTAGTCCCAGCGCACGGTGGCTCGCAGATGCTCCGGGGCTCGGATAGGACCCTTCCTTACCATCCCGGAGGAGGCGTTGCCCGTGGACTTATCTTTGGGCTTCAGGAATTTGGGGTAATTGTTGATCCCCCGATAGATCTTGTCATCTTCCTTGCCCCTCCGTTCCTCCTGGATCATCTGACTGCGTTCAAAGATGGCTTGCGCGTCCCGCTCTCTCACCGTGTCCAGCTGGTAGGTGGCAGTGGCCCCCATGTCCTCGGGCCCAACGCGTGCCCCCGAGCGGGTGGACTGGTAGGCCGCACACAGACTCCTGGGCTCATCCTCCACGTCGCCGCGCCAGCGGATGCCATGTGTCTTTTGTACCATGGGGCCGTCGGCCACCGCTTTCCTCTCCTGGGACACCACGGCACTGCCCTCCTCTCCGCTGCTGCTGCCGCTGCTCTCTGCCAGCCCTTCGCCACCGCCAGGGCGCTTTCGGAGGCCAGCAGCGACCGTCCGCCGAGGCTTTCGGAAGAGGAAGGGGCACGGGTGACCCGCCATCTCCCCGGACTGGTGGCCCGGCCACTGTGAACCGCGCGCTGCCAACGGCCAGGTTCACGCGGGCCACCACGTGACCATCCTCCAAGTACCCCGGGCTAACTGTGGAAAGGGGGACCTGCACCAGGAGGGTTGTATTTAGGCATCTCTTTTCTTTTTGGTTGTTCGGTTCATTCTTCCAGGGTCTCAAGGGCTGCTCTTGAGAATTTTTTTCTTTTAAAATTTTAATCGTTTTATTAGGAGCTCATACAACTCTTATTACAATCCATGCATACATCAATTGTGTAAAGCAGATTTGTACATTCATTGCCCTCATCATTCTCAAAACATTTGCTCTCCACTTAATCCCCTGGCATCAGGTCCTCATTTTCCCCCTCCCTCCCCATTCCCCCTCCTTCATGAACCCTTGATAATTTATAAATTATTATTTTGTCATATCTTGCCCTGTCCGACATCTCCCTTCACCCACTTTTCTGTTGTCCGTCCCCCAAGGAGGAGGTCACATGTAGATCCTTGTCATCGGTTCCCCCTTTGCAGCCCACACTCCCTCCTGAGAATTTACTTGGGAAACTCTAACCCAGCCAAATTCTTTCCCACCTCCTGCCCCTTCAGGGTTCTTTTGATTTCTAAAACGAAAAGACCATTTCAAAGGAACATGATTTGAGTACCCAAACTGCCCTTTTGCTGGGGGCGAAATTGAAGAGTGCAGGAATCTTCCGTGAAGAGTTAGGGAAACGAAAGTGGAAAGACCTAGATAGAGGATAAGACAAGAAACAAGAGCTTCACATTATTTTGTTTAATAATGGGTTCTATAATGTGGTAACAATGCTTTTTTAGTTCCTTTTGCACATGTAAAAGTGAGCACTGTAAGATCAAGACTGCGAAGCCAAGGGACGCATGCTATTTGTGTTAATGTCACAGCTTAAAGAGCCTGAAGAATTCGTGCTGGAAAGAAAACATCCAGTTAAGGGTAGATTAGAAGTCAGCATACTGACCACAATCCACGCTGACTGCCATAGAGTCTATTTTGACTCATAGAGACCCTATAGGAAAACTATACCTGTTCCCTGGGGATTTTTATAGGAGCAGGAAGCTTCATTTGATGGAATCAAATGCTGGCCTTGTGGTAGCCCAATGCTTAACCCATGATACCAGCAGGGCTACTTAGCCTAACAAAAGCAAAGAGGAAAAATAAAAACATCCGTTGAGTTTATTCATATACATAGCTACTCTATAGGGCAGAATAGAACTGCCCGTAAGCATTTCAGAGACTAACTCTGTAAGGGAGGACAGAACCAAATGTTTTTCCCACAGAGCAGCTGGTGGTTTCAAAGTGCTGACCTTGTTGTTAACAGACCAATGCGTGGTCACTATGCTACCAGGGTGTGTGGCAGTTAGGAATAAATATGCAATTTATGAGAGACACATTGTGTTCTTTAAAACAACGACAACCAATGAACTAACCTACTTTTTCTGGCAAGGAATCCACAGAATACCAATCGAGATGTTTCAATAAACAGGTGCAGCACTGGAAATGCTCACTGTCTAGAGCAAGTCTTAGGAAGAACGCTACCAACTGCACCACACAGCACGCTGATTCAACAGAACTCAGAAATCACATAGCAACATTATTAATTCTACCAACAAACAAAATGTGGCGAACACAACTCAAAAATGATTGCAACGGTACATTTATGAGGAGCTGAGATATGTTCAAGCTCCATTCAAAAGAGGACATGGGACTACGGACATTATTACTAATTTCAGATGGATTTTAAATGAAAGCAAAGAATACCAGAAAGATGTTTATTTGTATTTTATTATGCAAAGATAGTCAACTGTGTGGATCATACCAAACTACGCATGATATTGCCACAGTGAAGAATGGGAATCCCAAAACTCTTAAATTATGTTCATGTGGAAACGACATAGATCAGTGGCAGATGTTCAGATAGAACAAGAGGATACTACACAGTTTAAAATCATGAAATAGGTGTGGCAAAGTTGTACCCTTTCACCCTATTAGTTCAATCTGCATTCTAAGCAAATAATTTGAGAAACTAATTTAACCAATAGCCAACATCACCATAGCTATCCTTCAGAGGGTAGCTATTAGTCAGTATCTATTTGAGGTCAATGAGTGAGTGAGGCAACATCACGAGACATGAAGGAAAAATTGAAGTTGTCAGGGATTTTGTCTCACTTGGGCCCACATCCAATGCCCAGGAAGCAGCATTCAAGAAATCAAATGATATATTGCATTGGATGAATAGGTTGCAAAAAGTATCTTCAAAGCAATTACGTGGCTTTTAGGGCTATGGTAAACTGATTCAAGAAATTGTATTTTCAATCAATTCATATACATTTGAAAGCTGGATAATGAATAAGGGTCACTGAGTAAGAACTGATGTCTTTGAAATAAATAGGGTGTTGGCTTCGAACCCTGGATATGTCATGTGCTTCAGGAGAATCAACAAAACTGTCTTGGAAAAAGTATAGCCAGACTGGTTCTTGTGATGATGTGAAGATTTGGTCTCACATACATGGGATATGCTATCAGGATAAAACAGTCTATTGAGAGGGGACATTATGCATAGTAGAGTCGAGAAATAGTGAAAAAGGACAAGACCTGCAAGGAGGTAGATTGACAACAATGGGCTCAAACATAGTAATGATTGTGCAGAAGGTACAGGATGTTTGGTTTGGTTTTAGATAACGTTGCGGAGAGTCAGGACTGATCCCATGGCACTTAACATGCTGTGTATGTGTCTGTCTGTCTAAAGATTATGATGAGTGGTCTATTTAAGGTGGGTTTTTTTTTCCAAAACTGCATTGGCAGCTCAAAGACATAGGAAAAAATATAGAAAAGAAATAAAGAAGTTAAGTTAGCCCTAAATAATTTCAACAGGATAGGAAGAAAGAATATAATGTTACCAAGTAATACTACTACCTCAGTGTCCCCTAAGCAAGTGGAAAATGGAATCTCTTTTGTCTTAAATTCTCTTTTCAATTTAGGTTGAACTTCTAAATCATTTCATTAATTTATCAATCATTTCTGGTATTTTTTTCAATGTTCTTTTTTCCTTAAAACCCTCTCTGTACTCACTCATTTTATTTTGTTCTTGTCCTGGATGTCATTTTCATTTCAGGAGCTCCCCCACAGATGAGCCAGTGAGTCTGCAGAACAAAACGATGCCCTTGTTCTAGCAGATGACCCGCATTAATAGATATTTTAATGAAACACAAACATAAATTGCTGGTTTAAATGAATGATAGCCTGTATTAAGCCTGAAGACTTCCACTGACTTCTGTATGAAGCCAATATGCCTCAATTACTACACACTTGGAAAAAAACTGATGTTGCTAACGCTATGAAACAAATACTTTCAGAATTTTTACCTATCTAAAGTCTCCTATAATGAAAATCCTGATCATTAGCTATTTGACAAAAATGAATAGTGACAGTGTTAACACAATCATTCTTCCTTCCTTTTGAAAGTCATTCATTCATTAATTCATCATATATGTGTTCATTCACTCAGCAAGCAATAATTGAGAATGCATTTCATGTCGGCCATTATATTGGTGTGATTAAAAGATTAATAAGATAGAGTACTCAATTTACCCAAGATTTAATTAATTACAAAGAAATATATATATGTGATTACCCAAAGAGGCAGTTTTGGCCTCAGGAAACAGAAAATATGATTCCACTTCTTATGTAGTGAATGTTGGAAACTTTAGCAATACCACAGTTAGAGCAATGCTTCCGATGGTTTTCCATCTTCCTCTCTGCCATACTTATGGTGCTGGCTTTTCCCCCTTAAGCTTCAATGTTCCTGGAGTCAGGATGCCTGTAATAGCTCCGAGCTTAACATTATCACCCCAGAATGTCCAAAAACCTGAGTGTGAGGGTCATGGCTGTCTCAAACTCCCTTTTGAAAAGTGAATAATGCTTTCTCAGACGTATGCCAGTTGACCCCCCTTACTTTCCATTGATTGAAATTGTGTCTCATGACCATTCTCTATAGAAATCATTAAAATGAGCAACGGAAATACCATTAGCCAGTTTCCAGCCATCAACATTTACCCAGTTGTGTGGAGTAAGTACCGAATATCCACTGAAACACATGATTACCTGATTCTTGAGCAAGTCTCAGAGCAGAGAGTATAGAATGTGTCTGTATAGTCAACCCACACCTGCTACAAAGAGAAAACTGTGATTCAAATGATTTGTGCTTTAATATATGTGTAGATGAGTGTACACATTCTTATGTGTACTGTTTTGTAGGGCAGTTTTGTAGGGCAATCCGCGGTTGCAAGCACCTTTTTGTTTAGGGCTCAGTGGACTAGAGTTAACTGAAGCATAATACTAAAATCCTGGTCACCTTTTATGAAAGTACCACTCTTTTATTAACAAATACCTCACTTCCAGTGGTGTGAAAGAAACATTAGAGAAAGAAGAAAGCAAAGACAAGGTTTCTTACTGGACTCCCACTCTGAGTCTCTATCAATGATTAATGTAACTTTATTATTGTGAACTGCTGTGGTGTTGACCTCCTACTAATAGTGACCCAGTGGACATGAGAAAAAAAGTGCTGCCCTACCATCTCCATCATCAATTAAAGATTAGATCATTGCTTGTGACCTATAAGGTTTTCATTGGCTAATTGTCAGAAGTAGATCACCAGACCTTTATTCCTAGTCCATCATAGTTTGGAAGCTCTGCTGAGATCTGTCCAACACCTCAACAACACATAACCCTGAGCTGACAAATGGTGGTAACTGTACTTGAGGGATATTGATAGGGAATTGAACCCTAGTCTCCTGCATGAAAGGTAAAATTGTACCCCTAAACCATCACTGCCTTCTACTGTCACTTAATCAAACAAGCAATCATCTATGTGAGGTGGCAATGAAGTCCGCCAGCCTGTGTGACCCAAGGATTGTAAATAAAAACTCTAAATCTGAAGGTAGGAATGGTATCAGCTGAAATTGTGAAC